TTTTTTGGACTTCTGGTTTCTTGTTTTGTTTACCTTGAATTTTTGGATAACCAGCCTCTGTTTTCTGTCAAGTCTTTATTAAATCCACAACCGATTCACCTCTGCCTCTCTGCCTCTGCTTTTGGGTCAACTCACTCATTAACCAAATCCTGACAGTCATGGCCCTTAATCTTTTATTTATTTATCCATTGTTAAAGATCATTCAGTCACAATAACTGAATTAAAAAACTCTCAAAGATATTTTGCAAATTATTTTAATATAGGTACTGCAAAGGCTAAAATACAATCCTATAAATAGGTTTATGTTTTCCATGGGCTACATTAAGCATGTTAATTCTGTTCACACCTTTTCTTCATTGTATTTTTTTCTTTAAAGGTGTATTAATACGGTAGTAAAATATCTTTTTTTCTTTAACAAATATGCCCTTAAAATTGTCTGAATTGTAAAATGAGCTTTTACCTATTTACCGCAGTGGCTTTTTTCAGCGCCATTAGTCTGTTCAGGAGAGTGATTTGGGCGGAATTCTCTGGGAATGTATGAGTGTGACTGCATGATCGTGTTCACCCAGCTGCTTCATTGAGCCTCTGTTACAGTGAGAGAACACGGAGAACAGAGAGAACACACTAGTCTACAAAAAAATGTACCTCAAATCCCATTACAGAATCCACACAAGTGAGAAAATAAAACTGCTGTGTAGTGGAACAAAGATCTCTAGATCAGTGGTCGGCAAACCAAACTGTTCAAAGAGCCTTATTGGACCAAAAAACAAAAACAAATCTGCCTGGAGCCTAAGCCTTGTATGGCAACACAGGCTCTAAGCATATTAGCCCCTATAAAAAAGGACTATGTGGGCTTAAACATATATAAAGCATTCATGATTAAATGTTTATCCTAGAGCAAATGTCACATCATGTTACTACTTTGGTGCTTTAAGTTTAAAATCCATTATAATATTAATGTATTAGGTTTTGTTGCATTGATGAAATTATAGAAACATTTTAGAGTTATTTTAATTTTGAGGATTTGGGGAAAAAAATTGGAAGAAAGTTCACATACACACAAGTTTACATACACATCAGAGCTCTACGCTTTTCCATGCTTGCAACAAAACTAGCAGCAGTAGTGGAGTTTGGAGATGCAATCCACTTCTTAAATCTTTGCTCTCCTCTAATTTATCCAGAAGTTCTGCAATCGCACTATTTCTCTCACTCCCAACTTGGTGGTCGGCTGCATATTTAACATACCTTTACTGAAAATGCCTTACCAAATTACTCTTTTTATTATTTAACAACTTCTCATTACAAACCAAACATGCAGGCATTGATAATGAAAGCAAATGATTCATTTCATTTTTCTTGGAATCCTCTGTTCTCATCAGCTATCTTCCTTTTTCCCTTTGGGATCAATGGCCTGAAACATATCCGCTGGTTTGCTTCCAGCAGCCACTTGCCTGGCGCTGTGCCGCGCTGAAACGTGTGTTGCAGGCTATGACGCAAAACTTCCTGGACACATTTTTACTGCATTGGAAAACATAATGAATGTTTGTTTGACCTCCTGCACATCATATTAAAACAAACAAACAAAAAAATACATCTTTTTCCATTTTCATACATTTTTGAGAAAGCTCCAGGGAGCTGCAAGGCGGGCATTAAAGAGCCACAGTAAATCTTGGGGCAAGAAGTAAGGTCATATCTCCCCTGGGAATGGTTATCTTTTTCTAAAAAGGTGAAAAGCTCCCAAAATAACTCAGGCATTTATACAGTTCTTATCCCAGAGGATTATACCTCTAAACAAAAGACCTGTGCATTGCAGCAGCACACTGTGAGGTTTTTCACTTCTCCCAGGCATGTGCACAATAGTGTCCTTTCAACTAGTCACCAGGTGCTAATGTCTTCAAAAAAAACTCTGGAACTTGCACTATGCCCATGTAAAGATAAAAAATTATTTTTTTATTGGTGCAAAATCATGTTTGAAAGAAACTCATTTTATGTGTCCACCTGATTACAGAAAGGTGGCTTTATACAAACTATTGGTTCTGAAATACAACTAAATAAGCTAGATTCAGTTTACAAAACACATCACAGTCAGGTGAGACTACAGAGATATGTTATACAGGTGCTGGTCATAAAATTAGAATATCATGAAAAAGTAGATTGATTTCAGTAATTCCATTTAAAAAGTGAAACTTGTATATTATATTCATACATTACATACAAACTCATATATTTCAGATGTTTATTTTGTTTAATTTTGATGATTACAAATGACAACAAATGAAAATCTCAAATTCATCATATCAGAAAATTAGAATATTGTGAAAAGGTTCAAAATTGATGGCCCCTGGTGCCACACTCTAATCAGCTAATTAACTCAAACCACCTGCAAAAGCCTTTAAATGGTCTTTCAGTCTAGTTCTATAGGCTACACAATCATGGGGAAGACTGCTGACTTGACAGTTGTCCAAAAGACGACCATCGACACCTTGCACAAGGAGGGCAAGACACAAAAGGTCATCGCTAAAGAGGCTGGCTGTTCACAGAGCTCAGTGTCCAAGCACATTAATAGAGAGGCGAAGGGAAGGAAAAGATGTGGTCGAAAAAAGTGTACAAGCAAGAGAGATAACCGCACCCTGGAGAGGATTGTGAAACAAAACCCATTCAAAAATGTGGGGGAGATTCACAAAGAGTGGACTGCAGCTGGAGTGAGTGCTTCAAGAACCACCACACACAGACGTATGAAAGACATGGGTTTCTGCTGTCGCATTCCTTGTGTCAAGCCACTCTTGAACCACAGACAGCGTCAGAAGCGTCTTGCCTGGGCTAAAGAGAAACAGGACTGGACTGCTGGTGAGTGGTCCAAAGTCATGTTCTCTGATGAAAGTAAATTTTGCATTTCCTTTGGAAATCAAGGTCCCAGAGTCTGGAGGAAAAGAAGAGAGGCACTTCATCCACGTTGCTTGAAGTCCAGTGTAAAGTTTCCACAGTCAGTGATGGTTTGGGGTGCCATGTCATCTGCTGGTGTTGGTCCATTGTGTTTTCTGAGGTCCAGGGTCAACGCAGCCACATACCAGGAAGTTTTAGAGCACTTCATGCTTCCTGCAGCTGACCAACTTTTTGGAGATGCAGATTTCATTTTCCAACAGGACTTGGCACCTGCACACAGTGCCAAAGCTACCAGTACCTGGTTGAAGGACCATGGTATCCCTGTTCTTAATTGGCCAGCAAACTCTCCTGACCTTAACCCCATAGAAAATCTATGGGGTATTGTGAAGAAGAAGATGCAATACACCAGACCCAACAATTCAGAAGAGCTAAAAAAAACACTATTAGAGCAACCTG